CCTGTGCATGGCGTCCACAGGTTCGGGAGTTTTAAATACCTGCATTAATTGCACAACTGCCCGCCTCCCAGATTCCCGCTTTGGCGCGCGACAGCTCCCAGCGTGCGGTTCCAGCCCCCAGCAGCCAGACCCGCGCACTCTAGCAACGTTCCATTCCTGCAGCGCGCGCAGGGCTCTCCTGCCCGCTTTCCACCGCGGCCTCCGCGGCCCCGCAGCCTGCTGGGAATTGTAGTTCTTGGCCTATCTCGCAGTCCGACGAACTCTCTCCGACTTCCTTCCCTTGAGATTTTCCCCGCCTTGCAGATACCCACAATCCCCCGCGGAGCAGGGCAGGAAAACACCCAGAGTAGGCGGGGAAACGGAAGTGGGCGGAGCTCCGACTGACTGGGAAATGTCAGCTGCTTGACTGTGGACGAGTTTTCCTTTCCCGGGAATCCGAAGGCCTTCTGGTGACCGCCACCGCCGTCGCCTGTGCTCGTGGGTCTCAGACCCTGGACGGCTGTGGCGGACGTGGAGCTTCCCAGTCCTTTCCAGACGCTGTCTGGCGAGATCGGACGGTGAGCCTTAGTGGGAGCGGTGAGGCGCGATGGGGTCTGGGGTCCGGGCGAGCACTGGTAGAGATAAAGGGGGTCCCTGGAATTCTCTGAACGGCCGCTGTCGCGAGGCCCACCTCCCTGGCCTGAATGGAGGCAGCAGCCAGGCCCGCCGGTCAGGTGAGAAACTGCGAGCCGCCGTGTCACACCTGCCAGTCCCTTTGCCAGGAAGCTTGTTTCTCCACCAGGAAGATCCTTACCTCATCTATAAAATAGGCACCGCGACAGCGACGCAGCTCTCACGGGCTTGGAGTGAGGATCTCTTCAGATAACGTGTGTGAAAGCCTTGTGTAAACTAAAGCGCAGGTGAACTAGAAGCGGTGGTTTAATTTTAGGGGAGCCAGACACCACAATGGTTCCTGTGTGGGGTGGGAAAGCTGGGTATCACCTTAAAGGCTTGACCAGCCTCATAAATTCTAGCAAGCGAACAAATAAGATTACGGTGTGAATGCAAAGGGCTGTGCGAAGCAGAGGGTCACCGGAAAGCTATTCGGGTGCTCTGGCTCCACCGGCTGCGTGCATTTGCGTCGCAGCTTAAAAGCAAGCTGCATTTAGAATATCTCTGAGTAGAGGAGGTTGGGGGTGGTTAGAGTAGGGAGCTTGCGTTATTTCAGGTAGGATGACCATGCGAAATTCCTTGTGCACACTGTATTATAACCGTGACCCCGGGAAAACAGTGAGAGAGGAAAAGGGGATAAATCCCAAGCCTAATAAAAAATAAAGAGCATTTATAAGGTTCAGAAGTAAGCAAGCCAGCTTCATTACAAACGTATTAGAATATTAGTTCATATGCTGTATGACATAACGTTGTGTTTCTTTGAAGAAGAAGTGGGGGGGGGGAGAACCTTCCTTTCTCAGTTATATGCTTGTTTCAAGCTTGAGCCTTGGCTTGAAAATTAACTGTTACCTCTCCATAGAGGAAGAAATTCTGACACTTTTTGTTTTTGAAAGTAGGTGAGATTGGTGTAAAGAGAAGATCTGTTCACAAATTGATGTTAATTGAAACGATATGAAGAATACTGAGCTCATTGTTAAGAATTCATTAAATAACGTTACTATATGGAAAATATTTTAAAATGCAACCTTCTGTTTTTTTGACATAAAGTAACCTGTATGTTACTTTGGAGAAAGCAGTCACCTTAGTTTAACTCTATCTACATCCTTTCCCTTAAGATTACAACTCACTAGGTAAATGTATTAGCAAAAACATAAAATAAAAACAAAAACAAAAAAACCCCCCACAAAACCATATAATAAATACATGTACACATCCATACACACCCACCCATATGATCAAAAAGAGCTAGAATATGTGTGATACCTGAATTAGTGGACACTAAGTCCTTTCTAGGGCTCAAGGTAGAGCCTGTTAACTTTGAAAATTAGAATGCATTTTGCCTTGGTAACAAATATTTAAACTTGTTAGTGTGAGAGTGTGTGTGTGTGTGTGTGTGTGTGTGTGTGTGTGTGTTATTGATTCCCTCTAATTGTGGTCTTAATAAGTAAAAGTTTAAATAGGTACACATGACTTTTTAATTGTGTTGATTTGAAGATTTGAAATTACTAGCTACATAGAGACAGCTATCTGATCCCTTTTTTAAAAG